TAAGACACATCCCGATTATCGTCGATGCAAATTACGATAAAATGTTATATTTTGTACGAACGTAGTAGACACGGATTAATCGAGATCCACGTCCATTCAAAGAACAATAAAAGGTAATTGAGAGAAGCGAGTATCCTAGTTTTCCTCTATCCGCCCTTCTTCCGCCGACTGTTACCGTTTGCGTAAGCTCCTTCGGCCGCCTAAGGTAAGTCGACTGGGCAGGAACGGGCAAGAACGGTCAAGAACGGGCAGCAGGTAGCGCGGCAGTAGGAACACGTAGTGGACGGAGAGGTGGAATCAAGGTGGCAGCCAGCCCGATCGGATCCGCGATCCTCTCAGTTCGCCGCGAACGCTCCAGCCGACCAGCCGACCAACTCTCTTCTTCGATCCACCTCCAATCTCGCAGCGCCCATTCGCCGCCGACCATCGGCGAGATGCGAGGCGATCGATTTCGACCCGGAGGAGCACCAGCATATCCGCCAGCCTTGGACCGAACGATTCGTCCTCAGCCGATTCGCCGGAGGTAAGCGTTTACGCCGGAGATCCGACCGAGCAACTGTTCGCGCGTTACCCTTTAGCGAACGTTCGGATGACGCCATCGCGTTCCAAACCGGTTCGGTGACATTCCTGTCGATCGCTCTTTCCTCCAAGCTGCGCTCTCCCAGGAGAATCCTACGACTACGACCACCTAGCCGTCGCTTCGCGGTACCAGGTACGACGGTACCGACCTTTTCTTCCTGCCCCCCGCCCCCTCCCTCCCTCGCCGCTCTACGCCCCTCTGATAACTCCGGTGCAGCGGAGTAGCGCGAAGCGGAACGACGTGACGCGCGGGTATTTCCGCGGCTATCCAAGATTTCGCTTCGAGCACACTCCGACGACGATCGATCCTTCGAAACTGCTTGTTATTCGCGCGAGCGATATTGCCGATGAGTCAGTTTCGACCGAAGGTGCGCGGCTTTTCCACAGGTGGAACATGCCTCTGATCCGGCAGGTTCCGTTCGAACGTCGCTGAGCGCAACAGAGTTTCCACCGCGCAACATGAACGCATCCATGGGATTATTGCTCGCGGTCGGATCGCTGCTGATCGTACGCACCACCGCCACCGCCGAACTCCAAGGAGTCAAGTGCGGGGATTATCTGTGCGATACCTCCCAATACTGCAGCTCCCACAGCAAAGATTGCCAACCGTGCAGCTCCGTGTGCAACATTTCCAGCGGCAAATACGACGAGGAAGAATGCATGACCGACTGTCGAGGTGAGCAATTCTCCAAACACTTGCGACGTTTCGTTGTTGGTCCGCCTTTGGACGGTATCGTCGATGTTACGGGATCGATCGATGAGAAAAGGGGCAGGTAGTAGTAGTATTATAGTAGGCCAAGCGTTTCCCCTGTCCCGTACACCTGAATACGAAGCGGTTCGTTGACTTTGCACCTGACCACCGTTCCTCCGTCCCTCGGCACACGCGACCGCGCGCACCATGACTCATCCGACCGACCGCCTGCCTTCTTTTCTCTCCTTTCCTTTCCCTTACCTTACCTTACCTTACCTTACCTTACCTGCTATCCCCCCCAAAGCTCCGATCAACAATACACGCCAGTCCCTTTCGTACGCAGGCAGGTCGTCACGAGGGAAAAGCCTAATGCGTGCATACTATTTTTATACTTCAGATTACCTGCGCGACAAGCGATACGTTCTCCTCAAGCAATACGAAAAGTTGCGAGGTAAGTAAACCACCGATCGTTCTACCGAATCACGGAGCAAGCCGAATCACGGAGAAATGTTCGCAGGAGAGGTCGGAAAATTGTGGATTCTAGCCGGGATATCGACCGCGATCGCCTTGCTGTCGCTGCTATCGACCCTCTACCTGTTCGCGAGCAAGTTCACACGATGGCAAAAGATGCGGGACGCGACAGCACGGTCTTTCGCTGGCAAGTGGGTAAAGGTAAGTCGACTGCGTCCTCATAAGCGATTCTTAACGTATCTCTTCCAACGGTTTCCTTTGACTTTTCAGAGAACGGCCGACGGTGGCAGCACCGGCGGCAGCGGCAACGGCAACAGCAGCAGCAACAACAACAACAACAACAACAACACCAACACCAAGAATAATCAAGAAAAACAACGGAGGGCGCAAAACGACGTAGAATCGGGCACGTCGAAACACAACGGGCTAAAGTTGACGATGCCGACGATCAGCGCGAGCGTCGCTCCGTCCCGACACGTGGAGAACGGAAGCGCGACCAGCAGCGGCAGTCGGAGCGGAATCGAAAACGCGACGCCAAACACCAGCAGCACCACTCTCTCTCGAAGGCATCCCAGCGAGGACACCACCCTCGACTATGCGTACGACAATCCGGCGATGACACCGAGCCCGGAATCCGTTCAACTCCGTACCAAACGCGAGAGTTCCTTCTGAGAGATCCAGACTGTACATAGTATATAAAGAGAGAGAGAGACTAATCTTAAGTACACTTAACCGCGCGTGCGAAAAATCACGCGACACTCTACAGACCACCCTTATCAGCCATTCCGTCCATGAAAGGCCTTAGCTAGCGAACGCCCGCTCGCAACGAGGTCGGGCTTCGCATAGGTCAGCGACGGCACGCGCGACCGATAATTCGGAGGTCGGAGAAGCTCAATTCTCTAATGCTCAATCCGCTCGCTGTCCTTAGAATAAGTCGCGTTAGTTAGCGTAGTAAGTAGATAGATAGGTAGGTAGGTAGGTAGGTAGGTAGGTAGGTAGGTAGGTAGGTAAGTACTTAGGTGTATGTACGTTGTCGCACATCTTATCGTATCAAGTATTCTCGACAAGACGAGATCCACGTCTTCCATGTCTTCCACGAGATAGAATAGAACCGTTCCGAACGTACACTTTTATTCGCAAATATTTTAAGTTTTAAGTAATTTTTAAGACGTTTGTCCGTTATCGCTCTGCCTAGTAATATTTCTATCGAATTTCGAATAAAGACACGAATGCACAAAGCCTACTCTGCTTTCGATTCTTCACCTCAGAGTTTCCCGATCGAGGAGGGCGAGGCGGAAGTGGGTTCCGGCGCGGTCGGGGCCGGCGCGGCGGGGTGAGAGCAGTGCCTGGCCATCACCAGCTCCCTCGTGTTCTTCTCCGGCTTGACCAACACCACGTACACCTTAGGGAGGAAGAGGCAGAGCAGCTGCACCAGCCCGTTCAACGACAGCGACAGCGCCAGCGTGATTACCCTGACGACGTTGTTGGTGGAGGCCAGATAGAGCGGGACGAACGCCAGCCAGAGCACTATCGTAGCGTAATTGGCGAACGCGATGCGTCGGGTCTCGTTGAACCCTTCCGGGCATTTTCTCGTCTTGATCGCGTAGAACGTGGAGGCGGCTGAAACCGTGGCCAGGTTGGCGGTAGAGTTTCGACTCTATGTACTCACGAAAGGTCGAAAGGAACTAACTCACCGGTCAAAAGGAACGGATACACCAAGCCGATCAGGTACGAGCCGTCCTCGGAGCCCCGGCAAACTCGAACGTTCGCGTCTCTGGTGGGGTACCAGTGCTCGACCGCTGCCGGCTCCTTGGTCAACCAGCTCGCGTCGAACGCGATCTCCACCAGAGCGAGGATCGACGCGATAGTCAGCTGAGACCTCGGGCTGGTGTACCTAAACGATAACGCAACAACCTTGTACCCCCGTACAAATTGTAGAAAGTATGTTACCGACTCCGTACCGACTCCGACCGCCGGGATCGTTGAATATCCTGTGGATCCGGTTGATCTTGGTAGCGAGCGCGGCGTAACAGATCGTGTAGCAGAATCCGATTCCGAACCGTACCACGGCGCAGCTCTGGACGCTCGGTCTGGCGACCACCGCGAACGTCATCGAGAAGCAACCGAACGCGCCCAACAGCAGGAGAAAGGAGAGCTCTCGGCCGCACGCCTTGATCATCGGAGTCTCCCGGTACCTCCAGAACACCGAGCAGACGAACAACGTGAACGCCATGCCGAGAACAGCTACCGCGATGGCAAGCAGGGCCCACGGATCCGAGTAGTCGACGAACTGCTCGGGGATTGGCTCGCAGCTGCTCCCGTTCTCGATCGGCCTGCTGCCCCAGTCGCACTCCTCGCACCGCTCCTCGTTCACCTTGTACCGGTAGAGACCGCAACTCTGGCACCTCCAGCAGCACGGATCCTCCTTGCTGCGAACGATGATCCGATTCGAGCCGCAAGGACGCGAGCACGAGGAGCTCGGGAACTCGCTGACCAGTGAGCCGCGGAACCAAAAGTTCTCGCGTGTCAACCGCAGCACCGGTTCCCCGTCCTCGTTCTCTGTTCCGTACAATCGTCGGACGTGTAACCTAACCTAACCTTACGATATATGCGATAGATAAGAATCTTACGCGTGTAACTCCCAACCACCACCCAATGGTACGAGCCGTTAGCCGTTCGTTGATAGTTGAGGATCGAGTACCGCGGCGGCCCGTCCACGCCGTTCACAAACCTGAATCCGTTCCCAGCTTCGTCTGGAAGGAACTCGTTTGAAAAGCAACCCTCCGCAACCGGCCGCTTCTTACCTTTGAAGGACACCTCTGCCAAATACCGGGAGAACGCCTCCTCCTCGTTCAAAAGACGGAGCATCGCCTCGCAAACGCCCACCTCTCCTTTCCCGCAGAGATCCGTTTGCAGGTTGTGAAGGGCGTGCGCCACCGCGTACACCGCGTCCCGAACAAAGTGCAGGAACCTTCGCTGCTTGTACCCGTTCTTCTTCTCCACTCTCAACCTCGGATCCTCGCAACTGATTCGCCGCGGTTCGACCTTGCCCCTATCTTCACCCTCCTGACAGCCGTGATAGGCACGCCAAAACTCTCGGAACCAAGGGTTGACTCGCTGGTGTTGGAGCGTCAACCCGGTGATGTACTCGTCGAAGCCGTTCAGAGGAGCGTACAACGGCT